TCCATCGATTTATCTAAATGACACTACTGTCTATCTTTGAAAGTGTACTTCAAAACAAACATGATCTTGCGATGGTTTGAAATTCGTCACGTGTGCAAAATCACATTAAGATACCAGAAAAACAATTAACTCGTGAAATTTATGATGTGGAAATGGAATTTCTCGTCGGACTATTCGAAAGTTGTTACGTCACAATGTCCATTGAAGACCAAATCGATCCCGTTTCAAAACGAACGATATATATTCAACGAGTGGCGTATCGAATGTCATAAATTTTGTAGGACACGACAAAAATGTGGTAAAACATTGTCGAGTGTCGTGCGTATTTGAAATAGAATAGAATCGGAATGTGCGGCGCTTACCTTTTTTTGTCTGGCTATCACTTTTTACGATTTATTTTTCTGTTCAATGTTAAATTTGCAGGTAAACGCAAACAACAACAACAAAATAGAACCGAAAAACATACATAGTGTGCAGCGTATTGTTGATGGCGACAAGGAGCCAGTAAAACAACAAAAATGGACATATAAAACACTGTAAACTGTCTTTTTTGGGAGTTTTATTTGGACTATCTTCTAACCGATTCTCGGTGCGACATTTTATGCGTTTTTTTTTCTATACTTTCTTCTATATTTCTGTATCGGTCATTTAAAAGTACATAACTTATGGCAGTGAAAGTGTCAGATAATTAAGACTTTTCGGTTTTGTTTTGTTTTCTCTTTTCATCAAGTGTTATCAATGACGCGATGATGATTCAACAAGAAGATTTGCGCAGTGAGACTTTTTTTTATGTCAAACGGAAGATATGTACCCAATCGGGAAGTGAACGGATATAGACGATAAGTGAATTGCGCCTACGGATGGTTGAAATTCATCTTCAGGCGGCGAAATGTATTGAGAATCGTTTTTTTTTGTAGTATTTAATATTCAATAACTTCACACTGTCAAGTGTCTCGATTCATGCCTCATTTTTTTATGCAAATCGCTTATTACAGTTGGTTGAATTGAAAGAAATTCGATCACTTTTCCTTTTAGTTCATCCAGCAAAATGGTTCGAATATAATAAGTTTTCTCTCTGTCTCACTCCCATTACGTCTTCGAGCCATAAGGTCTCAATGCATTGGACAACTGTTGTTCGAACGCGCGTTCCCTTTCAATCATTCACTGTTAGCTTCGTGATGCTCTTCTTCATTTCGGCCTCTCAAAAATCGTTCTCTTCGCGCAGAATACACTAATTTCGGTTTTGCATCGAAACATTTGATGATCGATGAAAGTAGTCTTATTGTTAGCCGTGAATAAATTGGATTATTTATTGAACGGAACACGTGCCAATATTTGACCACAGATTGATGGGTTACCTTTTGAGCTTCAGTTGAAATTAGAAAAAATTTCACCAAACAAAAACATCATCATTCGGGATTTCGAGCAAATGGTTCGATTGTTGTAAAGTCAAAAAAAGAGATGATGAACTCGATTCTTTGTGCACCTTTTAATGCGTTGGGTTGTTGTTGGTGTATTCATTTCTTTGGTTTCCGCACGAAATTCGAGCAACAGATGGGCTCATCCACCATAGACTAACCGAATTTCCAAAAAAAGAATATTACAAAAGAGGAAAACATCCAAAACACAAAAAAAAATGAATGCAATTTGGTCAATATATATTTTTTTTCTTGTTCATAATTCGAAGCTTAATTAATATTGGAAATCATTCATTTTTTTCGGGTTGTTACCTCGTTGTGCGAAATGCAAAAGCAGAGCGACTTAATAAACATGTGTAGTTTAATGAGTTGGAAATGCAAGCACACGCACGTGAAAAACATATGACATTTTTTTATATGTCCGACGCTCATCCTCACTCACACTGAACGAAGTATTGACGAATGGCTTTCGCACAAAAGAGTGATTGAAATGATCACAGACCATGACGTCGATCAGTGTGTTGGACCTGATGGTGTTCGCGCCACAAGGTAAAGTTATAAAGTCAATAAGAACCAACAACCAACATGAAATCGGAACGGTTATCCATTGCACATGTAAAAATGTCGTTGTAAACAAGGAAACACCGAATACCGAAATTCATTTCAAGTAAATTCTGAATTCACCGTCGAACTGCATCCCGCTAATCCTAGTGAGAGACAGACATCGTATAATTTAGCTGAATTGTGCATTATGCTTGTGAGCTGTCTGTGCACATGCACTTTACACTGAAAAAACCAACCACCGTAATTTTCACCGTCAGTTTGCTGGTAAGTAAATAATGACTTGTTTGAATTTTAAATTAGTCCTTCGCGCACTTAATCATTTTCATTGACTCGCACAAGCACAAATCATTGAAATGGCAAATAAAAGAACCACCAAACTGTTTCAAAAAGAAACAACGAAGTATTGTGCAGAAAAAAGGATGCTCAAAATATTTGGAGCGAGTGATCGGCGATTGTTGAAGTAGTTTTTTGCGCAGTGTGCATTTAACTCTGACGTAAAACGATAATAACGTATTTGTAAATTGCCAGTTGAGCAATCGTCATTCGAAGTGGACGTTCGAATGCGATTTATGCGCATTTCGACTGAATTAGTACATTGCGCGGTTTTATTCACGATTCCTTTGCTTCGCCAAATTTTTTTAATGAAATAATAGCCTTTCAAATTATTTATTTTGAACATTTTTACGCTTGCAAATTAAATTACGCATTACATTTTCGCTTTCTTCAGTTGCTGCATTCACCATTTTTTGCGCGTATTGTTTTTTGGTGGCAACGCATATCTAGGTGCAATATGCATTTAAAAAAAGAACGAAACGATGAAATAAACACAGGAAATGTCAATTTTATGCATGTTCAGGGCAATTATTTCTCTTTCTCAATTCAATCCTCATTCGATTGTTGTTTCAATTTAGTGGAAAATTCAAAAAAAAAAAAAACGACTCATTCTTGTGTCCTTTGTGCGTAACTTTGACGAATTTTCAAAGGTCTCTCATCATTTTAATGAATTAATTCGTCTCTCAAATAAGAAAAGTCGAACATTTAGTAAATTCGTCACAAAACAGTACCGATATTAAAGCGTGCAAATTGGATCATTGTTTGAAGTTTCTTAAATCATTGTTTGGAGTTAATTACCAATTTTATGCTTGATTCGGTTTAATTCCAAAGGATAAAGGTTAAGCATAAGCCAATATTGAATTACATTATCAAATTCGAAACCAATCAATCGAATATACAAATCGAATTTCCGATTTTCGAACAAAGGGCGCATGAAACAATTTAGTCGATTCCCATGATCACTCAGCAGATATCAGCAAAAGGATACGAACGACTTTTCCAGACGCTCAATTTCTCATATAAATGCGAAGAAAACCAATCCATGGTCTTTTGAATCCTTATATTACCTTCTAATCCTGGTGCGATTTGAGTCACATCAATCAAGCAGTTCAGTATTTGGAATGAATAAACAGCAGCATATCATTTTATCAATTTAATATGTATTACATATCAATTTAAGTAGAGCTCATACAGTCGAGACACTTGAAAATTCTATGCGGTTGATCGAATTTATCGAATGAAAAACAAAACAGTAGACAAATTGCACAATTTATCAAAACAAAAACACAAAATATTGAATTTCGTCAAAAGAGAGGGAGAGAGAGAGGGAGAGAGAGGGAGAGAGAGGGAGAGAGAGAGAGAGAGAGAGAGACGAGGAAGTAAGTTGAGTCATTCAAATGGAATTGAAGAAAAACGGTAAAAGATTAACCACCCGTAGCCGTTTGTCTCTGCCTACTGTTTGCAATACTTGACTCTTGTTCGATACAATGACGACCTATAAATCAATCAAGCTGAAAAGGACCTGTTGGTACTGTCGGCTATACAAGGAGTACAATGTCAGCTAAATAATCCACATTTTTTTGTGAAAAAAATATTGTTTTTCTTTTTTTCTACACACTTGTGCTCGAATGCATGACCGCACATATATTGACGCAGTCAAATTTGTAATACTAGTAAAAACGATTCGAAAGGGAAAACAAAACCGTCAACAATGATGCGTACAAGTATCAAATTGAAGCACTTCAGGTTTTTCTTTCAAATCGCGAGTGTCCTACAATCACAAACTTTTGCATAATAACAATAAGTCTTGCATTTGCCTTTTGAAATCATATTCAAGTCAAAGTTTTGTCGCAACCGCAAACACATCAAAGAAGCCTCCAATCAAATCATTTGTTCGAGTGAGTTTTTATGATAAGATAAATTATTATTATTTTCTTCTTTTTTTTCGAAAAAATCTCACGCACCCTAAGCAATTTTTTCCCGAATAAAATAAAAACAAGTTTTTGTGATGAACGACTCTGAACGAATCAACAGAGAAAAAATATTCCATTTTTTTCCCTCCGCTGATACAATAATGTTGATCAAAGGGTCCTTTTGTCGATGAGTTTGATATGAATGTAAAACTGCGCACGAAATCGAATTGGCACAGAGACGAAGCAGAGATATAGCCTGAATGTGAAGTAGCCAGTCAGTCAGCCAAACAAAACAATTCGAAAGAATGGAAACGAAGAGTAATAAAAAAACGTAGTAATCGAAGAAAAAAAATAGCAGGTAGATTATTGTTGCCGATTGAATCGAGAGATGATACAGGCAAAAGACATACATACGTATGATCTCTCTTTGATCGTAACCACGAAATGATGAGAGAAACTGAGCTGTTATGAGAAAAAACACATTCGTTCGATTCCTTTTCGATACAATCTTCAGAGCACAACATTCTCTCTCCGGGAAGGCGGAGCTTGCGCAAGAGAGTGAGAGAATAAAATCAAAGAGAAGAGAATAAACGAAATTTTGTTGTGCCGGTTGAATATAGCACGTTACCTGTGGCAGAAAGAGCAAAGATGAAGAACTATCGAAAAAAAGAAAAAAAAGATTTTGTTATTCTCTTGAATCAGCACACGATTGAATGGGAAATGATAGCACGCAGCATGCAAGGTGAACTTTCTTTCGAGCGATCAGATTTTAGTAAGATCAGTTCATCATCCCACTCTGGAGCGAGCACAAGTGTTTTTTGGAGCTGAAAAGAAAAATCAAGGTTCTTTTTTGTGATTCAGTGAATGCGATTTTTTTCGATAAATCAAAGAAAACAGAACGCATCTTCGATAAAATTAAACAAAGTTTTTTTTCAAATTTGTTTACAAAAACTAAGTTTTTTTTTTTTAAAGTTTGTTATCTGAAACAAAAAATCCACAATGGCATCATACGTGAATTATCATCCTGGAAATTACACCAGTGACTATTACTACAATCAATACAATCCAAACATTTACAATGAAAATATCAACAGCAATGCCATCGAACAAACATACATCGATGATCAATTGTCCGATGGATTGAAGAGTCCAAAATCGGACTCATCGCTTTATAGCGATAGTTACAGTCCGAAATCGAGTTCAAATTACTACAGCGATTGTTACAAAACAGAAATGATTCCATCGCCAGTGTCGATGTCATCATCAGGATCCACCGATTTGAAATTTTCACCAGTTCCAGATTTTTATTCAACGTTCGAAATGCAAAATCAAATGGTCAACATAAAACCATCAAATACCGTTATACCAACTAAAACATCAACCACCACATCGTATTCAGTTGCCACAAAAACAACGAAAAAAATGAAAAACACCATACCAAAAGTTACACCCGATGTTATGAAGAAACGACGATTGGCAGCCAATGCACGTGAACGCCGAAGAATGAACAATTTAAATGATGCATACGAGAAACTACGTGAAGTACTGCCGAATATTGGAGCTGATAAAAAATTTTCGAAGCACGAAACATTGCAAATGGCAAAAATGTACATGAATACACTTAAAGATCTTCTAACAAAGTAAGGCAGAATATTTTTGTTATCGGTGCACCAAAATTATCAAAATAATGTGTAAAATATTACAGAAATAACTGTGTCATATTATCCAATTAGAAATTTATACGATTTACAAAAAATTTCGTCCAATTTTCAAATGTTCATTCAGTTGGATTAGTTTTTTAAGGATTTTATATGATTAAGAAAAATAAATTAATAATTAAGTTTCAATTTTCGAATAAGATGAAAAAAGATAGGGAAAAATGTACAAATTGTTTATTTATTTTGAGAAAAAATTGAATTAAAATTTCAAAAATTCAGAAAAGAACACAACATCTTTTTTTTGCATTTGCGCTTTCAGCTCTTTTTTCAGCCTTTTTCAGATTTAATTGCAGCAATACAAGAGAAAAACCTATGTGTGTATTGAACTGGAACAATATACCAGTCTCAAAGGTAATGTTTGATTGATTGTGATTCGAACGAACAAATCTTTGATTTAACCCCATGTCATATGGAAATCTCGTCTTTTCTCTGTACTTCTTCTAATTTTGAATGGCAACACTTTGCACTTTACTTGGGAACAAAACACGTTCAATGTAATCGATTTCAAAACCCATAGAAATTGCCTTAATTAAAAATGGTAAGTATTGCATGTGATTTACAGGAACAAAAGTCATAAACGAAGCTTATCAAATTTGACTCAATGGGCTGAATCATCCCTTGAATAGGCTGATAATTTTTTTTGTTTCTTCTTTTTTACACTTTGGTTCTTCTTCTCTTTTCATACGGGTACTTCTTCTTTTTCTCCAAAAAACGAAACAATTTTGCTGCGATGCCGTTTTTTCGGTATCTAGTGTGTTCATGGGAAATTTATGGTTTTATTAAAAGACATTAATTTTATAATTTCCAAGCACCGCCGTTGTATTTTAACTCGACAGAATTAAGCGATAAAATTATGTGAAACAAATACCGACATCACGAACCGTTTTATAAATCGAGCACGATCCGATTTGTATCAAAAAGTGCTATACAGTGTGAGGTAAAGAAAACAGTTTGCATTGCAATGAATTATTATCAAATATACAAACTGGCTCGAAAAATTATTAATTCTTTTGCATTGTTTAAGTTTCGAGCTGTGTTTTTTCACGCTTATTTAGAAAAAAAAAGGTAAGAAAGGGCAGAAATCGGTAGGAAAACTGTTCAACGATAAACATATTTTTTTATGTGAAATATATGGGTCAGTTATAAACTGTGGTGGTCTATAGCGTGTGTTTTGATTCACGAAGTAACATGCACACCTACACGTGTTATACAAGTCACATGACGCGGCTACAGTTGTTGATACCGCCGCGTATCGAGCCTGTGTTAGGGGCTCATCTATTTGTGCAATTTTACGATCAAACATGCATTAAAATTTATTGCTTACTTTCGATGCACAGTTCCAAATGAAATCATTTATCAATTCTGAATGGTCAGTATTCTCTGTGCACTGAATCAAAGTGAGCCACACGTTGATCAAGAACGAAAAAAAAAACGAATTGAATTCTTTTGTGTAAAATATTTCGGTGCTTTTGTTTCGATGCCAATTAAATGCTCTTCTGGTCCCGACCATACACATTGTCATGCAATCGGCTTGATCAAACCGAAAATCTGCTTTTACAAATTGGATCACACCGAACATCGTCGAAAAAATTATACCGACTGTGTCAAGAAGAATATTTTGGATATATAACGCCAGCACAATAGGATAATCATGATAGTCTTTTTGTTACTAGAAAGGGTTTGTTGTCCTTTCAAATGTCTTTGAGAAATGAAAAGGAAGGGAAAATATTTTTTTCGGAGATAAAATTAACGGATCTTTTGAAATAAAAAAATAATTCGTCTATTTCTATTGTTTCGATTCAAACGGACCATCCAACCGTTTCACAATCAAAATATTATCGAATTGATATATATTGATTTATTTCACCCTTTCATTAAATCGTATTATTAAATGTTATTATCGATTTTGAACGATTTTAAACGATTTTAAACGATTTTAAACAAACGCCATCATTTAAACACTTTTTCACAGTTCATTCGTTGCAAAGAGAAAGATTGTGTGGTCCCAAAGAACTAATTATATGTTTGTTTGTTTGAATCGTTTAATTTTCCTGCATTAATTAAGAAAGCAAACCTTTTACATTAGCGTCTGAGATCATTTTGTGTTTAATCAAAGAAGAACTTCATCGATATGTATCACTTAATGGAATTCTATTCAAAAAATATCTTGAATCATTTGCAGGAGATGCAGCAGCCGGCATTTGGTCAGTCAAGGGCAGTTTTTAGCGATTTTCAATGGTTTTCCAAAACGTTTTTCACTTTCGCCAAGTATCTCCTATCGAATATCGTCTTAAATTTAATTTCCTCCTCAGCGTAACCACACCATCATTAACTGTTTCCAGTGTGAAAATCAATGATTGATCGATTTCGATCCGTTGTTTAAAAACCGTGCTTTTTTGAAAAGGAAAACTAACAATGTTTCAATTAAATCAAATATTGACACAGGATTCCCTGTTCGTTTGCTCTATTCTCACTTTTTTATGTATATACTGAATAGATTTTCGATTCCGTTACATTGTTATTTCATTGTTCGTCTATTTTTCGTTTTTTCTAACGTTTCGTTCCCGTTAACAAGCAATACGGAAACAAAAATAGTTGAAAATCATAACTGTACAAGTTGGTTTTATTGAACAATTCAAAAGACCAAATTAGTCGATTGGTTTTTATTGGTATAGAAAAAAAAGGTACCGTAAGACGTTTTTAAATACGACCCACGTCTTTTCAGGTTATTGCTTCGTCGTTTCCTGTAAAATGAACGAGATCATCAATATTTTCTCTCGTTTCGATCAATATCCTTTTTATAATTGGCAAATGAATACATACAAAGAAAACTCTCGCCTTTTGTTCGGTTCACACGGCGCAGCCGCAGAGTTACGCGAATGAAAAGTAGGTGATTCAAGAAACAGATAGATATCAGCGGATATTGGCTTTATTCAAAATGATGATTTTAACAAGCCACAGAAGAAAAAAAAACAGTTTTAATGAACTACGCAGTGGGAACAGGATGCACTATGACCATACAATGGTGTTAAGAGGTCACATTGTCTGATTTTACTTTTTTTCGTGTTGATTCGTCACTATTGCATGAATATAACAACAAATGTAATTAAAATTGCGTGGATTTCAACGATTAACGAATTTATTTAAGAAAAACATCTTTTTTTGCTCTTGAATCAAGAAGATAAGAATTTTGCAAAACCTTCTTGTAATTCAAGCCAATGTCCAAAGTGAAACGCGAAAAAGGATAGTACATAAAAGTTAATTATCAAAGGATTTATACGCAATGTATCTAGTTGTTGTCTCTCTTGTTCTCTTGTTAATTGAATTGCAATCGGATGAAATAAAATGTATTTGCTGTAATAGCATTTATCATAATTACATCATCGTTTGCACTAATTTGTGAAATGTTAATAGCGTGAAGTAAAACAACCGCCAATCAGTTCAATTGAACCGATGATTCTTTTTAATTAAAGCCGATACATGAGCGCAGTAAATGTTCTGCGATTGAATTTGTTGTGCCGATGGTGGGCACTTGTTGTTCACTGTCTGTTTTGACTTTGTTTGTCGTCGGTTTCCGCCGAATCATTCGAATTGTTACGATATGTGTTGCAATTTCATCGGGTCTTGTTATCAACAAAGTGATAAACTAAGAAACAACGACCCGAACGACAGAGCGAAAAAAAAACTCGCGAAATAAGCGATGTTAACACGGTTCAATTCGAATTAAAATCGTTGAATTGAATTTTTTAGCTCTCTCTGTTGTTTTCATCGTGCTATTACCGCATCTCATCATTCAGTCTTGATACGTCATATCCATCGTGCATCGATAATACATGATTGTGTGTGTATCAGTAGCATTTTGATGAGTTGTGATGTGTCGATTATTACGGTTGTGTGTTGTCGTTGTGCAAATTATCGTAATGCAAACCAACAGAAAATTAAATTCTAACTAAATGCTTCTGCAGTGCGCACTTGAAAATTCCACTAGAATCAGCCACAATCACCGGCCAACAACAGCAACATCAAACGCACCGATATCGGTAAAAGTATTTAAAAAGTAAACAATTTTTAAATTACGCGCAATTCGATTGTACGCGCGGCACTATGTCGATGCTACCTTTTGTTCTCAATTCATTTTTCTCAGTTCATGTGTTTTTTTTTTCAATTCGTTGGCTGAGTTCGGTTTCTGCTTTTCGCACTCGAAGTGCACTTGATCGGATTTCCAACCGTTTTGTATCGAAAACCAGAAAAATCAACTTCCAAAGAATCCATTTAATAGCGGAAAAGAGATAGCCTGAAAGGATAGTGCGTTTTTTTTTTTGTATCTCGCTTATGACCGAAAGTGTGAGATGTACATGAGCATAGCGCTTGGAATACACTAAATCAAATCAATTGATGGCTGAAGTTTATAAAAACGATTTTATACAAAAAATGACAATAATTTGCGGTTCAGACTGAAGGAGTAAAAGAAATATATTACATTCTCGATCACTTTTTTGATTCAATGGTAGTACCGTTTGACGCAAGCGCGCTCAGATCTCGTTGTAGAAAGTCCTGATTTCTTTTTAAATAAATAAAATCAGTGTTTTTTTACTGCAATATCACAACAAAACCGGAAAAAGACTGCTCGCAATAAATGAAGACGATGCACAACAAATCATTTTCTTGTTGCGATTACATTTAAATTAAAAACGCATTCATTTGGCGCACTTTATTTTTTTGCGTACCTTTTTTCGCGTAAAAAATTGATTTGCCGCGTTCCATTGGAGTTGAATTTGGGGTTCTCTTGAGATAAATGCACAAAAGTCCATTATATAATGATCTTCGGTCTGGTTTTTACAGTCATTGATTATGGATTGAAAAAAAAAAAATCAACTTTTTGACTTTGCCAAAAACGTTAGTTAAATCTTAAATATGTTGAAAGCCAATAGATTCCTGGTGTTATTTCTTTGAAAAACTTGAATGAGTCAACGAACTATTATCATAATTTAA